GCAAAACAATGGTAAAATGCGAATTGTTCCATCATTTTTAAGCCCAAAAAGATGATCAAATGCTGCTCAGTGGAAAGAAAGCACAAGAATCAGTTTGTCGTTTGTCTAATATAAACACATAATCTAATAACTCGATATTCGTGAAACCAGTCTTCGAAGAATCCAAAGAGTGTTTTATTCCAAAAGGTAACAACGTTAGAATCCGCTGCATCTGGCTAAATGTATCCAACCTTCTTTGAGATAACTGATCAACTAATAATCTTAAGAAAGGAGATGATGTGTATAACGGAGATGAGTCATTATCATCGCAAAATTGGATCAACAAAACAATGAGAAAGATGGATAGTAGAAGGAGGAAGTTCTCTCACGGTCGCCGAAAAACAATTCCATGTTAATCTTTCATGCGATAAACAGGCCAGTACGTATTTATCAAGTATCTTTCGGAGCATGCCATGTGTCAGCATTGTTCATTATCGCGATCAATGTTAAGAATCATTAGTTGAAAACTTACTGAACAAAAGACCGTCAAAAGAAAACTTAAATTAATGGTTTATCTCCGTTGATCGTTTTCTTTCTTAGAGTTTTTGGTTGCACAGTTATCTCAGAAGAAGACTAGATACATTTATTCAGATGCAGCATCAATAATCAAAGAACTAACTTCGATATTTAGAAATAATACAGGAAAACATTTAGAAAAGTGGACTGAAAGGATGAAGCTGTATATCGAATATCATTGTGGCTCCCTCTAACATTTACTGTAGATAGATCAGTGAAATGTCTTGTTAAATAGTGGGAAAAAACCGAACTTTTTGACTAACCTAAGTAAAGAGGCAGCAGCAGTCATCAAAACAAAACAAGATGAGTTTTATATATCACTAACCATAGACATGTTTGAAGTCACACTTTTCTTCAATTTCATCCCAAACTAGATTTACACTACAATGCTCCAATTTCACTGTTCCATTATCCAAACAAGAATAATAGCTATGACTATCTGATGGGTTGGGCGACGTTTTCTTGTTCGGCTGACAGCTAACTTCTGCACGTGGTGAATCTTCGCCTCCAGGATTCAGTAATAGGTTTCTATTTATGCCATATGTCCCATTTGGTAGTATTCCATTACTGATTGAAAATGCAAGCAATAATTGTGTGTCGTTTATATTTGATCCACTAAGGTCAGTATTCGTAAAATCTGCTGATGAAACATTAGCATTGTCAAAACTGGCTTGCTGCAATGAAGCTCCATGAAAATTCACACCAAACAAATTTGAATGTTGAAAATTAGCTTTGGTTAAATAAGAAAAAGAAAAGTTCGAATAGGCTAAATCTCGATTCCGAAACGATGCATTGACCAACGAAACGCCAGAAAAAACTAAATAACGGAGATTCGCATTCGTTTTTGTTTGACTACTCATATTAATATTGTTCAATTCAGCATCAGTCAAATCAACTGAAAAAGTAATAGTATTCCTTTTTGTAATAGCTTTAGTTTCGTAAAGAAATTTTATAATAATACTTTTTCGTGTTGGATCTAATTGGTTCAGACTAGTTACAGTTTTAGCACGGATCATTGTTAATGTCATAGTATTATCAAATGAAATGTTTTTGTTCGTGAAAATATCTGACATCTCTTCAAAATAGCCGTTTAATACGTTATTCATTCGTACATCATCAGCTAATTTATTATCTTCTGCACGTTGTTCCTTGGCCAAATCTCTATCTTTTTCACGGTTTTGTCGGGCGATGTGTTGTTGTTGAATGGTGGTAACAATTGTAAATACACCAAACATTACCGGAACAAGTATAGATGACAACCCTGTTATCCAATATTTTGATTTCATAGCGCGTTTACGCTCCTTTTTACGTAATATTGCAGCTTCTTCTCTAACATTCGAAATCATTGCGTTCTTATCATTAGCTTGATGAGATATTCTAACAAATCAAAACTTTAAAGCTTAAAATAAAATGAAATGTACATTTACTTATTTCATAAACACGTTATTACTAACAATTAATCAAGTTTGATCTTGTTCCTCTCGAAATGAAAACAGATTTTGTATTTGTATTCATAATTCTTGCTCAGAAATGTTCTATATACACGTACGTGCTAACTAGCACGTTTCTTCCAAGTAAATTTTAATAACCGCGTTTGGGAAGATGGATCATACAAGAAAAAATAGATAAGCATGAAAATAATGTGTAAATATAGATAGTAGTCACTAGTGCTTCTATCGAACTTTGAATAAATGGATATTATAGACT